GGTGCCCCTTATACCGGTGCATAGACGTACCACTCCAGAGGGCGCCAGAGCCAGTCCCCTACAGATACCACTGAGGGGAAAAAGTCCAGCACCAGTGAACGTGGCGAGTGCGCACACACCTACAATGGAATGGACATGAGCAACGCATCTCAATGAACAACAGTTACAAAAAGGTAACTGTCTTTTTCTTTGCTGCCCTGTCTTATCGCTACAAGCCCTAACTGACTCAGTATATTCACATTTAATTCACAGATGTGTTCTCTATTTCTAGACCTGTTAATATTTTTACACTCAGATCTTTCAGCAGGCCCTCATGAAGCTGTATTGATGACCTCTGGTTCTCTGTATTTTTCTTTTCAGTGCAGTTAGTCTAACTTGCCTTGAATGCAGCAGCGGCAACAGATTCATATGGCTATGATGTAGTCACGGTGGTTTGTAGAATGGACTTCTACCTTTAGCAGTCCCGTGCAAGCTTTCTTCCTTCGGCAAGAGTCTATATGGAAGGATGTAGGCTTCTTAAATCCCTGAAAACTACATTTTCCAACCTCATTCATGGTCAGCCGCATGCTTCGCTTCACTTTGACCTCAGCTCTATAAGCCTTCTGTAAAACCATATCATCTTCTGTTCATTGGACATGACTCCACCATTGCGGTCATCTTGTTCTCAACTGGTGCAAGGCTGTAACTTGACAGGATTGTCTGAACATCTCTTTGTTTGTGACAAAGTCAAACCAACAAATGTTAAGAATACATCATAATTTTTTACACTGAAATCTGTTCAGTTTCCTCTCCTCAGCTGTTTTTAATGGCCATGTTTCTGCCCCATATAACAGTCATTATTACTTGCTCGTTGAATGCTTGTATCTTAGTTGTCACACAGACATCCCACAGCCCAAGCAGATGCGCTTTGAAGTGCTGAAATGCCATTGATATGAGACTGATCCACCAAGTGACTTTCTTTGGATATAAACCCTCCTGCTGTCAACCAACGACCCAGATAGATAAAACTATTCAGCCATTCAGCGTCCTTGCCATCTACATGCAGTGCTGGCAGGTCATTGGTTTCCATTTTATAGGAGGTATGTATAGCTTTGGTTTTATCACCATTGATCTAAATCCCATAGATTCTGCAGTTTTTCACAGCTCTTCCAGCTGTAGCTGGACAGTAGTCTCTCCAAGTAAGTTAATGTCTTCTGCATACTCGAGATGAATCTGTAAATCTCACATCTTCAACTATGGCCTCTATCAGCTTTGTCATCAGACAGTCTATTACAACATTAAATAAAGTAGGTGAGAGAACTCATTCTTTGGTGTACTCCTGATTTTCCTGAAAACCAGTTTGTAATACAACCGTTGACCTCATACAGCTAAGTGTACCACAATACAGTTCCTCCACTAGGCACACTAAATCCTCAGGCACTGCAAACTGGCATAGCAGTATCCACAGGGATGATTGATTGATTGATTGGAGTCAAAGGCAGCTGCAAAGGTCTATAAACGCAATGTTAACTTCCTTTTGTCGCTCTAGTCGTTTTTCACTAACATTCTACAGAACGTATGCAGCATGGATTGTAAATCGACCTGTATGGAAACCACACTGGTTGTCTGTCTCTCATTTTTGGGTTGAGAATGTATTTCAGTCAGTTCAGTAGAATGATCATAAACCTTCTCTGGGACTGACAGCGGTGATATTCCCCTTTAATTTGAGCAAGCTGATTGCTCTCCTTTTTTAAAAAAGGGAATGATGCAGCCCCTTTTCCAATATTCTGGAATGTGGCAGGTTTCCTGAACTTTTAAGGGAACTATGGAGCCAGTGAACTAAATCCAAGCTTCCATTCTTTAGCAGTTCTGATGAAATATTGTCAAGAGCAGGTACTTTATCGTTTCGTAACTGTTTGACTACAGGCATCACTATGCCTTGTTATGCAGTGAGAATAAAATGCTTCAGTCTTCTCCTACGCTGAGATATTAATACTTTTTCTCACATTCATTGGGTTTCTTTATTTCCTCAGTGTTGTTTTCTCAAAATCTAATACTCTTGTGCCACTATTCTGTGAAGTTTTTCTTCTTGTCTGTTGATTCACATGATTTGTTTTCTCATGTTTGAAATTCAACTCTACTAATTGTGCATAGGCTTGGAGATCATTTGTTTCAGCATGTATGTCTCTATGGGTATGGGATAGCTTCTTGGTGCCATCTGCAAAGTCAGAGTTCTCTAACTTCTGTGTGGAAGTCCATTCTATGCCCCTGTTCTGCGGTCTTAATAATGCTTTCTGGGACTGACATAGAAGAGGTTTGATATTTGACATACCTTGGCAATAGATATTTGACATATCTTGGTGGAACAGCTGGAGACATTAAAGCCAGAATAGTGAAAGCCAGACATGCCTTTGCAGCTCTAAAGCCAAGCTAGAGAAATAGAAATCTTGCCCTCCAAACTAAACTTGGAATATTTAACACCATTGTAAAGTCAGTTTTACTATATGGTGCTGAGACTTGGAGGCTTATTAAGACCTGTGACACAGTTCCTCCTCTGCCTTGGCGGGTCCTGCGCTTATTGGCGGATTTGCTCACCTAAGAGGTTCACAGCAGCCTTCAGTTTGGCCACCTTCGTGGCTCAAATCTGCCGTTCACTCAGTTAGCCTCATCACTGGCCAGCATGGGGAAAAGGAACAAGAACAATCCCTGCAGTCTCTGCTGATCCACCTAGTGGATTGGGGGAACAGGCCAGAGACCTTCCCCTCTGGTGGAACCCACAGTCCAGGTCAACTCTTCAGGTATCAAGTAGGGAGTTGGAGGGATGGTGGGAACCCGGGCCCCCCCCTACTCCGGGGTCCAGCCCAGGGCCCTGTGGATTGCAGCAGTCGACAGTGGCTCCTGTAACAGCTGTGTGATAGCTACAACTCCCTGGGCTACTTCCCCATGGCCTCCTCCCAACACCTTCTTTATTCTCATCACAGGATCTTCCTCCTGATGTCTGGTAATGCTTGTACTTCTCAGTCTTTCAGTAGTTCGCCTTCTCACTCTCAGCTTCTTGCTCCTCTTGCTCCCAGCTCATCGCACGCACACCACAAACTGAAGTGAGCTCCTTTTAAAACCCTGATTAGCCTGCCTGACTTAATTGATTCTGGCAGCTTCTTGATAGGCTGATTAGAACTCCTGCAGCCAGTCTGCCTTAATTGTTTCCAGAAAGTTCCTGATTGTTCTGGAACTTTCCCTGGTTACCTTACCCAGGGAAAAGGGACCTACTTAACCTGGGGCTAATATATCTGCCTTCTATCACTCTCCTGTAGCCATCTGGCCTGACCCTGTCACAGACCTTACTATCTAAACTCCAAGTTTTCATAAATAGCTGCATTAGACAAATCCTTAATATCAGATAGAAGAAATTACAAAGAACTCTGGAGGAGGATGAAACAGAAACAGATAGGACAGAAAATTATGGAACGAAAATAGAGATGGCTAGGACATACATGGAGGAGAGACAGGCATTGAGCTGGAACCCCCAGGACAAGAAATGATGAGGTAGACGAAGGATAACATGGGAAGACACAGTAGAAGCAAAAGTGAAAGCCATCAGAACGACACTGGAAAACACCAACTCTGCAGCAGGAGACCAGCAAAGATGGAAGGCAGTGGCGAAGGCCCTGTTTCCTCACGGAATAGAAAGGTGTAAAAGAGAGGAAGAGAGAGACTGTTCTGTGAACCTGTTTCTAAGCACGTTTTATTCAACAAGGGCAAGCAAGAGGTCCCCAGTCTTTTTTTGTGGATGCACCTTTTACCATGGATGGTGGTCCCAAGTTGCTGGGGCACCTGGTTAACATGCATTGCCATGGTAATTTTAAGAATTCTTTGAGCAGTAATTAATTGTTTATTAAGTTGGGGATTCTTGCCACTCAGTGCTAACACAGTGTAGTAGAGTGAAGCTGGAGGAACTTTATTCTTTTTTAAGCAACCACCAAAACGCTAATACAATTTTTCTTACAATAGGACTTTGTGTTTGTGTGCGTGTGCGTACATATTTGAACCCTCAGAACATTTTCAAATAATGTTGAGTCTCACTGGCATCCAGAAAACTATGAAAATTCAGTATTAGCTGAAATTCCATCATTGATTTCTCATTATGATTTCAGCACATATGACAGGTAATATTACCCATTGTTCAGAAAGCTCTAAAATACTTAGGTGCAATGATGATACTTAATAGTCAGGCTTCTAATTTTTGCTGACACTTGGTGGTTGTCACATATTTAATGTTTGGTTAGGCAGTGTTTAGTGCTGAGAGCAGGGACACTTGCAGTCAGAATGTATAGGAATTGCCATGCAGGATTAGACCAGTGGTCCATCTAGTCCAATAGCCTGTCATGTATTCCTAGCTCTGCCACCAACTTTCTGTGCAGACTCACTTAACTTTAATTTACCCATTTAGAAATAATCCTTACCAGTAATCCTTACCAACTTCACAAGGGTGCTGTGGGGAGCTAATCATTGTTAGTGATGCTCTAATGAAAGGCATTGTAGTAAGCTAAGTGCACAATGTTGTTACCTTTTTGGGAGGGAAGGAGAGAGGGACAGACCAAGAGTTTTGTGGTTTGGGATCCATATATTCTCATGGATATAGTTAAAAAGAAGACAAGGAAAATGTAACTTCTTGTGGAAGCTTATGAGAGCTTTCAACTAAAATTGGTACGGTGGACATTCCAAGCCGTGATGGCAATGCAAGTCTGTCAAACTTTGGAAACCTGGTCGTAATGTACAGACTGCAATGGATGGCATATTATGAAAATATCATTCAACGTGATCCTGAAAATGTATTTTATGCACAGCACCTGTCAACTGGTAACAAATCCTTTGGTTGCTGTCTCATTGTATATACAGTACCCTGAAGAGTGGCACAACTTTTGGGCCTTATGTTATGTAATAATGCAAACAGTGAAGGAGCTGTCCAAAACTTTCCAGCCTCTAATACCCAGCTTGATTACCTCTTCCCCTTTCCACAGGGACAGCGTCAGGATCTAGAAAGGATGCAGCTACATCTCCTGTACTGACAGGCAGCAGAAAAGAGCTTGTAACCACAGCCACATCACCAATCCAGCATGACACATCACGGTAAGCTGCTGGGTAATCTCTGGTTTAAGATTCTGCAAAGGCAACCATCATATTGCCCAAGATGCAGGGAAGTGGCTGAGTTTCTCTGATATTTCATGTTAACGCAAGGTGGATAATATAAACTAAAAACTGCCATGTCCTTTGACATTTATAGTAAGCCTTAAATTGCTTGTTAGAATTAGAAAAGCAGGAATATGCCAAGTTCTAATGTTTTAATTTTAAATACCAGAAGGTATTTTAAGTTCCAAGTCCTGACATTAAATACTTTGTAAATAGTTTAAAGGGATGGCATTAACCCTGGTTAGGTTTTAAATCCACTTGAAGATTTTAATACCCCTCCCCCTCATATTTTTTCCAATGACATTTCTTTTAAAATATTTTGTAGAAATGTTATTTTGTGTTTAATGACCAGCTACAAAATCACATTAAGTCAGCAATTCCTGATTATACTATACATCAGCTATAAAGGCTTTGGGGGAGCAGCATTATCCCTCTTATTCCAAAGAAAAAGAAGAAAGCTGAATTGTCGTTACCCTTGTTGGACTGAAAAACAACTTTGCCTTTTTGGGGGATTACAATTCTAGTCGTGAGTATTTAAAAAAAAATAAAAAATACACCCCACGCTTACACTTTGTTTCAACAAAATCTTTAGTTAAACTAAATGAGTCAGAGTATGGTACTACAGGAATATACAATGTTATAGAATACTAGTTTGATTGCTCTGTGCAACAGATGAATAAAATGTACGACACAGTTCACAAGAAGAGTTAAAAATTACTTGAAGAAACTAAAGGCTTGGCAGCTGAATCAGTGTTTAATTTTTTTTTTAACCCAATGGACTAAATTCTGTATCATCCCTACATTCTTGGTAGAGGCTGGCATTTCATTTCTGTCTTCTGAGGGAACTTGTGACATATAATAGGTGAAAAACTATTATTAATATTACAAATTTGTACTTATTCAGTAACGTAAACAACATTTTTTTTTCTTTTGGAAAAAAAAGGATGATATTTCTGGAAGGATATAAAACCTAGACAGATAGAAGGGTTCTGCTTTCCACAACTACATGTTTAAACAAAAGCACAAAACTGCAATAAAGCATTATCTTCAGAAGCCACCATTATCTAATGATGAGTGTCTGTGAGATATTGTTGGGTATTTTCTAGTGACAATTTAGAAACAAGGCTGAAACTCTCCTACAAGCAATGAGGAGAAGGTATAAGAAAACTATACTGTAGAAAATTATACTGTAGAAATCAAGTCGTACAGAAAAAGGAATCTGATTGAAAACAAGAGAAGGTCCATACTAACCGCATGGGAGCATAAAATAATCATTGAGATATAACATTAAAAATTATGTCACATACAGGAAGTGATCAGTCAAATAAATCTAATTAGTCAATCGTCATATTAGTGAATAAAAAAATCTGACAAATTCCAGGCTTCTCTATGATCTTTGCTTTTCTCTGTCTCTGTTGGTACTTGTGTAAGTGTAATTGACCAGGTTAAACAGCCATGTTGTGCTTTTCCTTACTCATGGGCTTCTCTAATTGAAAATGGTAAATGGACAAGTGTTTCTGTGGAGGCCTAAAGCTGATTTTATTCTTCATCAAAAAAACCCTGCATGCATAGTCTAAATTTATCACTGAATGATTACAAGCTCAGACTGCAAGTTTAACTCACTAAATTAATCAATATTGAGAATTATAGCTCTTTTGTGCCACGAAAGTTAAGGGTCTGTCAGCATGTTTTTTATAATCCACAATTTGAGAGATTAAGTTTAACTACAACCGTTTTCTTGGGACTGAAACTTGCTGTACAAAGCCTGAGCCTAAGAACATATTTAATTAATCTGCAGTAGATGTAATCTAATTACTTTTCACTATTTAAGCTTATAGGGGCTAGATTCAGTTCAGGTTTATGCCAGCCCTAACTAGCATAAATCCTGGTATTGGGCAGCTACGGTAGAAAATCTGCCAGGAGCAAGGTGTTAGAAAGTGTCTGCAACCTCCCTGCCAATGAGGGGCACAAGGTTGCTAGCTCAGCTTCAGAAAATGGGGGATGCTGGTTGGATAAGTAGCTATGGCTAGGGTGGCTAGATGATGTGCTGGTTCTGTAGCCTCTCTTGGTGGTGTTCTAGAGGAGCTCTCATTGGGTGTTAAATCTACCTCCCCTGAGAAAGACAGAGTGGTGTTACCTCCTGCCTTCACTGTGAATGAATCACCCCTGGGACAAAAAGGGTGGAGTGAAACTGGCGGTAGGTGTTAGAAATAGAGGTGTTGAGTTTTGAGATGCTTAATAGTCTTAATTCTAGATGCCCAAGATTTGTCTTCCAGAATGAACATTAATAAGCTACTTTTAAGGGGTATTAGATGGACCCTGTTTCGGTATCTGAGATATTGACATCGGAAAGTAGCTCACATGCATGCCTGCCATGACACAGCATGGTGTGTTAAATTTAAACTACTTGCAAGTCAGGTGTTTGCATCTGTGCAAATGTCTCAAGGTTTGGTTCACAGCAGGTATGGGAAGCTTTTCCATTGCATATCCTGAAGTTTTTAAACTCTGGTTGATGCAGGCTTGGCTTTCACTGCAAACCCATAAACAAGGTTCAGGTTGGGCAGACTCTAACAAGGGGCTAGTGGCCTTATTGGAAGAAGAGTGAACCCTGTTCCTGTCCTAAGAACATAATTTCTCTGCCTGCTGTAAAGTATCATCCTCTCAGGTGGCCAGGAGTGACTGCAGAATCTGTTCACTCCTCTCACTCCCTTCTTGTTTTCCAGAGGCAAGACAGTATTTTTGGCTGTGACCTGCAAGGAAATGTCAGTAGGGAAGGAAGCCCTGAAATAGAGGCTATGACCTTTATTAAACCTCATATCACAATCCTAATTTTACATTTTCCACTAAGGTATTGTCTACACGACAAAGTTTTGTTGATGCATGTTACGCCAACAATCAAAAATTGGTATAATTGCAAAGCTTGTGCATATTCACACAATGCTCCTGTCAGCAGACCATATCCACAGTTGGTGCTCTAGCATCAACAAAGAGAACAGTGCACTGTGGGTCGCTATTCTACTGTGCTACTCGCCACCTTCTGCGGCTAAGAGTTGTGGGAAGGCGGAATGGATCACCATGCATCATGAGTGCGTGCTCAATGTCCCATGGTGCAGTTTTTTTCATCCCATAGAAGCATAGAAGATTAGGGTTGGAAGGGACCTCAGGAGGTCATCTAGTCCAACCCCCTGCTCAAAGCAGGACCAACCCCAACTAAATCATCCCAGCCAGGGCTTTGTCAAGCTGGGCCTTAAAAACCTCTAAGGATGGAGATTCCAACCCCACCCCCTACGTAACCCATTCCAGTGCTTCACCACCCTCCTAGTGAAATACTTTTTCTTAATATCCAACCTAGACCTCCCCACTGCAACTTGAGACCATTACTCCTTGTTCTGTCAACTGCCACCACTAAGAACAGCCTCACTCTTTGGAACTTCTTTGGAACCCCCTTTCAGGTAGTTGAAGGCTGCTATCAAGTCCCCCCTCACTCTTCTCTTCTGCAGACTAAGCCCAGTTCCTTCAGCTTCTCCTCATAAGTCATGTGCCCCAGCCCGCTAATGATTGTCATTGCCCGCTGCTGGACTCTCTCCAATTTGTCCACATCCTTTCTGTAGTGGGGGGCCCAAAACTGGATGCAGTACTGCAGATGTGGCCTCACCAGTGCCGAATAGAGGGGAATAGTCACTTCCCTTGATCTGCTGTCAATGCTCCTACTAATGCAGCCCAATATGCCATTAGCCTTCTTGGCAACAAGGGAACACTGTTGACTCATATCCAGCTTCTTGTCCACTGTAATCCCCAGGTCCGTTTCTGCAGAACTGCTGCTTAGCCAGTCGGTCCCCAGCCTGTAGCAGTGCATGGGATTCTTCCTTCCTAAGTGCAGGACTCTGCACTTGTCCTTGTTGAACCTCATCAGATTTCTTTTGGCCCAATCCTCCAATTTGTCTAGGTCATTCTGGACCCTATCCCTACCCTCCAGCATATCTACCTCTCCCCCCAGCTTAGTGTCATCCACAAACTTGCTGAGGATGCAATCCATCCCATCATCCAGATCATTAATGAAGATGTTGAACAAAACTGGCCCCAGGACCAACCCTTGGGGCACTCTGCTTGATACCGGCTGCCAACTAGACATCGAGCTGTTGATCACTACCCACTGAGCCCAATGATCTAGCCAGGTTTCTATCTGCCTTATAGTCCATTCATCCAATCCATACTTTTTTAATTTGCAGGCAAGAATACTGCTGCGGACCGTATCAAAAGCTTTGCTAAAGTCAAGATATATCATGTCCACCACTTTCTCCATATCCACAGTTATCTCATCCTAGAAGGCAATCAGTTCGGTCATGCATGACTTGCCCTTTGTGAATCCATGTTGACTGTTCCTGATCACGTTCCTCTCTTCCATCATTCTACAGGCGTCTGACTGTGTTTCACGACATTTTTCTATTACCCTTGTTTCCTGTGCACCCACCATCTCTGTCTGAAAGGATGGATCCTGCATTGCTTTCTACTTTTGTGGTCACTTATGAACGCGTCGTGGCTGGTCATGCAGTGTATAATGAGCACCCAATCTGAAATGGAATCAGAGGTGCCTTACATGCTGTGTGACGTGGAAAGAAACACCACTAGATTTCTTTTGGCACTCACGGAGCAGTTGCACATTGTGGACTGTTGCTTTTGGGCTTGGGAAACAAGCACTGAGTGGTGGGATCACATCATTCTGCAGGTTTGGGATGAGGAGCAGTGGCTGCAGAACTTTTGGATGAGGAAAGGCACCTTGCTGGAACTGTGTGCAGAGCTCTCCCCAGCACTGGACACCAAAATGAGAGCTGCCTTCTCAGTGGAGAAGCGCGTGGCGATTGCTGTGTGGAAGCTAGCAACTCCAGACTGCTACCGGTCAGTCATGAATCAGTTTGAAGTCAGGCAGTCCACTGCTGGGA